AAGTCAGACCGGGCGTCCAGATTCAGCCGCTGTTGAAACTGATCAGTTTCAGCAGCGGCTGACGCCAGTTTTGACTTACATACAGATTCAACTTAGGGACTGTAGGTTTGTTCTTATCTTGTACGTAACTCGGGGACTGCCTGTATTACATTTTCTAAAGTGCCTTTTCTTTTGTGCAGATCATTACTAATCTGAACAATATGGCATCCTTTCAATCTAGCAATGCTTTTAAATATAATGGTATGATTACATTACTACAATAAAGACTGCTTGACTTACATACAGATTCAACTTAGGGACTGTAGGTTTGTTCTTATCTTGTACGTAACTCGGGGACTGCCTGTATTACATTTTCTAAAGTGCCTTTTCTTTTGTGCAGATCATTACTAATCTGAACAATATGGCATCCTTTCAATCTAGCAATGCTTTTAAATATAATGGTATGATTACATTACTACAATAAAGACTGCTTACATATTTCAACCAACTTTTTGGTGGTCAGGTGCACTTGAAAAATAGTTTCATATTGAAAGACTAACACAGGTATAATTATAGTTAGATTTGGAAGAATTAGATTTGTCATTAGTAAACACTGATTCACCATATACACACATACGGAAAAATATTGCAAAGGCGACTGTTGTACTTCCCTATGTTTGTTTTAAACCTGCTGCTTATTTATTTCATTGGTTCTTGTGTTATGGGAAGGAGTAAATAAAACTTCCTTATTCACTTTTCACAATTTTATAGATTTCTCACACATCCCCTTTTGGTCATTTCTTTTCTAATCTGGTCAGTCCCAGTCTTTTAATTTTCCCTCGTATGGAAACTGTTCTATGCTCCTAATCATCATTTGTGTTGCCCTTCTCTGTACCTTTTCTAGTTCTAATATATTTTTTGATGTGTGACAACTAGAACAGCACATAGTTTTCAAGGTGTGGGCATGCTATGGACTTGTATAGAGGCATTATGATATTTTCAGTCTTATCTATCATTTTGCTAATTAATCCTAACAGTTAATTGTTTTGATTTTCCTTGGACATTGGCTAGAAAGTGATGTTTTCAGAGCCCTATCCAAGATAATGTCAAGATCTTTCTTCAGTGTTAACAGTTACTTTGGACTGCATCATTTGCATGTATAGTTGATATAATATTTTTCAATGTGCATTTTTTTTATTGCTCAGCATGGACTTTAATCTGCCATTTTGTTGTCTACTCACCCAATTTTACAGAATTCCTTTGAACTCTTTACAGTCTGCTTTGGTTTTAACCATCATAAGTAATTTTGTTTCATCTACACACTCTGCCACTTCACTGTTCATCCTCTTTTTCTCATCACCTTATGAATGTTGAATAGCACTGGTCCCAGTATAAACCCTGAGGGCATCCCACTATTTACCTGTCTCTACTGTATAAGCTATTTATTCCCACCCTTTGGTTCCTATCTTTTCACCAGTTACTTTGATCCATGAGAAGACCTTCTCTTGAGTGAATGCCATCTGGTCCTGGTGAATTATTACTGTTTAATTTATGAATTTGTTCCAAAACCTTCTCTACTAACGCATCAATCTGGGACAGTTCCTAAGTCACCTAAAAAGATGGTCTCCCTGGTCTGCTGGGGAGGGGCGGGGCGCTAGCTTCGCATCTCCCTGGTCTGCTGAGGGGAAGCAGCTAGTGCGGGGTTGCCTCACCCCGTTTGTAAGTAGGGATCCGATGTAAGTCGGATCCATGTAACCCGGGGACTGCCTGTACATTTAGTTTGAGCCTCTACTATGGTGTGTTAAAATGTTATGGGCATCTCACTTTGAATTTGTTTAGGTAGTCTCCTCATTTCTGTTTCTCTCCTTTTTTGATGTTAAATGTCATGGTGGTGGGGTTCTTTGGTATCCTCCCCCTTCTCCCAGGAGTAGGATAAATTTAATTTCAGGATGGTCATTATTACCAAGCAATTCAGCTATAGTCACCTCTTGAATTAGAGCCTGTGCACCAGTTACTGCTAAATGAAGAATTGCCTCCTCCTTTGTAGGCTCCACAACTAGCTGCTCCATCAAACAATCTCTTACGGTGTCTAGAAACTTTGCCCACACCCCATCTGGCGGTGACATGTTACCAGCCACTATGGGGATAGTTGGAATCCTCCATTATCATTGGGTTTTCTGTTTTTGTAGCCTCTTTAATGTCCTTGCACATTTCCCAATCACTGTCATTCCACCGATCAGGTGATTGGTAGTGTATTCCTACTGCTGTCCTTTTATTCAAGCATGGACTGTCTATCCTCTTCTATGGTACTGTTTAATTTACTGAAGATTTGTACTATATTTAAGTCTATTTTCTTTCCCATATAATTCCATTATACCTCCAGTGCAACCTTTTGTC